GATGTACTCGCCATTGATGTTAATACCGTATCCTTTGCAGTCCAGTAGCTTGAAAACGTCTTCCAAAGCAGCGGTGAAGAGTTTCGGGGATATAACGTCACCCTGTCTTACACCTCTCTGCAGTTGGATAGGTTTCGAGCTCTGGTTCTGTACTCGGATAGCCATCGTAGCCCTACTGTACAAACACTTCAGCAACTCGATATACCGACAGTCAACTTGGCACCGCTGAAGGGACTGCACCACCGCCCAAATTTCGACGGAATCAAAGGCTTTCTCATAGTCCACATACGCCAGGCAAAGTGGCAAATTGTACTCTTCAGTCTTCTGTACAATCTGCCGCAGGGTTCGTCGAGTCTGCGTGCGAGACGATTCGTAATGACTCTCGAAAACAGCACGTAGACGCGGCTCAGAAGGGAAATCGGTCTGTAGTTCTTCAAGAGAGCGTTGTCGCCTTTCTTAAAGAACAAGACCACCGCACTTCTGCTCCACGCCTCTGGAGTAGTGCCACCATGGAGGACGGAATTGAAGAGCTTCTGAAGGACTTCAAGTACCGGTGTTCCACCCGCTTTCAGAAGCTCCGCTGTAATTCCATCCTCGCCTGGGGCCCTGCCGTTTTTAAGGTGCTGGAGAGCCATTCTAATCTCGCTTAGACTGACGTCCGGGATATCATCGGAATAGTGTCGGATAAGACTTGCTCTTGGATCGTTACTCACACTTGCGTGTGGCTCCAACGATGATGTGTACAGCTGCCCATAGAACCTCTCAATCTCACTCAGAATCTCAGGTGTCCCGGAAATTATTTTGCCACACTCAGTCTTCAGCCTTGACAGTTGGCTCTTTCTGGCAGACAGATCTCTGGCAAAGACTTTGGAGCCCTGGTTCCGCTCGATCGCTTCTTTAATACGAGCAGTATCAAAGTTGCGTAAGTCTCGCCGCATGCATTTGGAGATCTGTCTAATCAGTAGCCTGTATGCTGTCAAATCTGTTGACGATTGCAGCCTCATCTCCCGTCTAACAGCCATGAGATTAAGAGTGTGATCGGAGAATTTTTGTGTTCTTCTGCGGCGGGTCTTGCAGAACTTAGCTCCGACCGCATGGACAGTTTCCACGAGCTTGTCATTCATATCGTCCACTGCATTGCAATCTTGTAGGCACTGAAAGCGGTTGTGTAACTCGAGCTGAAAGTTTTCGGGATTTTGGATCAGAGCACGAGGGGGACGGAGCGTTGACTTCATTAGACGAGACCTCTCCAACTTAACGTTTAGGTTCAGTGTGCCTCTAACCATTCGGTGATCGCTGCCAGTTTTCACCCTTGCGATCACTGAGACATCACTGAACAGTTGGCGTCTGGTCGTCATAATGAAGTCAATCTCATTTTTTGTCAAACCGTCGGGGCTCGACCAGGTCCACTTCCTGTGGGGCCGCTTCTGGAAGAAAGAGTTCATTATAAAGAGTCCCTCTTTCTCCATAAAGTCGGCCAGCTGCTGGCCCCTTCGGTTCCGTTGCCCTACTCCAAATTTCCCTAACTTCAGCTCACCGCTTTCCCTTCCCTTTTATTAATCTCTTTTAAATTCTTTTCATTATATTCCATTATATTCAAGTCTTATCCATTCTATTTTAGTTCAATTCTTGTCCCTTATCGTAAACCAAAAATACCTATCTTACAATATGTAAAGACTTCGCATTTAGAGTACCTTAAACATGCAAGTTTCCTTACGATGTTATTTTTTAACGCCGTGCAGGTAATAAATTGACAAGTAAAACTGTAACTAACAAGTTCATTAGTGAGGCACGAATCGAACACGGTTGGCTCACAAACTTTATAATTCTAAGAGGAGCGCTTATCCCCCTGATCTACTACGATGAAATTTAAGTGCAAACATTAAAATAGAACTGCGGCAAGGATCCGTTGTACCGGCAGATATAATCTCCTTCATATAAAACTGAACAGCTCTATTGTAGGATATGTAGGATTTATTACGGAAGTCTGAATACTAAGTATGAGCGATATGAAAATAGCGGATGTGAATTAAATTCGCTTTAATCTTCTTTGTTCATATATCAACGTTTCATTCTTTCCTTATAAATTTATTGACAAAATAACTTACGGTCCATCTGATGGTTCATGACATTTGCGGCTCATGACACCTGCAACCAACTTCAAACAAAGAAGGCTACAGATGCACCACCCCTTTTACTGGAAATGAGGCAATTCATGTTATTCCTCAATGGTGATAACGCATCTCCATTTTGATTCGTAGTCGAGAATAAATGTAGATATCTATGAGCCATAGCAACTACTTAATATGAGGTGAATTGTGTGCTTGTTTCTCACCCTTATACAACAAAAAAGTTGCCACTTCTGAGACTAAGTTGGAATGCCTCTCAGACTGTTATTTTATTGGCTCTCTATACCCTTTAAATCGGAACAAATCAGTTCAAGTACTGATATTTGGCGCTGTTATTTAAGCTTTATATAAATAAACTAAGAAGAACATAATTATCTCTAAAGGCCCATTTACATAACGAAACACAGCTTATTTTGTGCTTGTGCCATTTACGTGTAGTGTAGCTTCAAGTATTGCTCATATTTGCGTTGGCGAATTTTTGACTCCAGCGTTGCTAGTTTTATATGACAGGTGTTTATTAAAAAAACGAGTCAAAAGTGTTAATATTTGGTTCTGTTCATCTAATGAAGTTCATTGAGATTTATCAAATTCCTGAATGTTTATGGGATACTGAAAATATGTATTACAAGAAACGTGATGGACGTAATGCTGCACTAGCAACATTTACATTTTTTGAGCCAACACCTTTTTTTACGATATTATCTCGATATTTATTGCTTCAGAAGAGCAGCAGCGATCAACAAACCCTCTGCACTCATGTTTGCAAATGAAAATAAAATCCTATCCTATAATAAGAATTGCATAATAAATTACTGTATGTACTGTTTACATTACATGAACTAACTTCAACTTGTACTCAGTTTTTGTATCATACCATATGATTATTATCTCATTGTCGCACGTAGTACTTTATCTTAGACTGGAAATAATTCCAAATGCTAATCTGCGTTCCATGAAGACGTAAATTGTTAGATATTTTTAAACATTTTGTCTCTCTGTTTGTTTGCGATAATCTTCGTAATGGCCGAACTGATTGTAATGAAACTTCACGAACAAATAATGAACAATGCCAGGAGTGATCTTGGCTTTATTTTATTCGAAAAACCTAAAATAGTTTTTATATAACGTAAAACAGGTAAAATAAATGATCTTCTATTATTATCTAATATATAATATAGAAATATCGAAATGTAATATAAATGGAGTATAAATACATAAATTACCTTTCAATGAAATTTTATGAGATACTTATGGAGTAACCTTGATGGTGCTTGTTTAGGTGTGACCCGGTAAGTGACGGTATTGTCGAGATCCAGAAATGCAAAGTCTGACGGATCCCTAGTAATCTAAATTATCATACAAACATATATTCAATCTGCATAAACGTGATTATAAAAGTTATGATTAAATTTGAATTTATCTCGTCGCGAATCATACGTTCATAAAGCTTACGTTATTTTGTTTGTTTAACTTACTGATAATTTCATAAAACGGATAGTTGTGGTTCTCAAACAGATTGTTGAATTATTAAAATCACGAAGGGAGGATAATACTGTTGGATTATTCATTGACACATCACGTGAAGGATTATTGGCGTTATGAGCATAATTTAAGTTCAATAAAACATTAAGTCAAAAGATAAGCTCGTAATAAAGGAAATTATGAGACAACTATATTTTGTTATATAATATAATTAGGAGTCTAATGAGCGCTAAGTCCACCTGCATTTACATTGGTTTTAGGTGGATGCTGTAGCATACCTACAGCTACCCCCAATTATGAATCAAAATAACCCCGATTATATTAAATATGTAATGTTATTTTTTTTTCAAATAAATTTTAAATTAATAAATCAATACCTTTTCTAATTGAATGGAACATACAGGATATTAGAACATATATGATTGAAAGTCAAACAAGTTATTGCCTTTTCAAGAAATTCATTCGACCTTCCATCGACCTGACCAAAGGGGAACGGCGGATTTAGTACCGCATACTTTTTTCGTTGTTTTGTTATAGAATTAATACCAGATATTAAGGCAACTGAGCCATTAATTTTCATGTAAGTTTTATATTTTGATTATTTTCATGTAAGTTTTATATATTGATGAAGATTAATACATAAAATAAACGCAATGAGGGCTATCGCGTATGAATTCGCCCCTAGAGGCGCTACCGCTAGTGTAGAGTGTGGTCTCCGATATGTCAAATGTCACTGTTAGTAGTAGTTGGGCTACGCGTGTTAATTTTTTTTAGAATAATATTGTAAATATATTGCAATTCCTGAGATTAATTATGGCCAATATAAATTACGGGTCAATGAATGTCAGTGCTTTAAAAGCGGAGCTAAAAAAAGGAGGTGCAAGATTAAATGGGTTGAAAGAACAGTTAATTCAGAGATTAGTTTGTTTACTATTTACAAGTACATTTTTGTCAAAATCATGCATATTTACCGAGTATACAACAATGTTTTCTTTTTACAGACTTAAGGAATATGATATAAATAATAATTTTAATAGAAACATAGAAGGTGAAATACTACAAAATGATTTGGTGTATATTCTTGAGTGGCCTTCAGACAGTTTGTATAGCAGTATAACATCGAAAAGTGTATCACCTAACTTGGATATAGTGAATATTACCACTTACTTTCTAGAGGTTTACAAAGACAATGTGGGAATGACTGAGTATACTGCAGTTCAAAAAAAGGCTATAATATGATGATAAACGAATATTTAGTGGCTCTAGTGATATGTACACAAAATAATTTACTTTTTTGTAAAGATGTTGCACTGTACAATGGATGATTATAATAATAATAAAAACTGACGGAACGGAATAAGAACTGACTAATAATAGAAAATAGACGACATGAAGCAGAGAATCGCTGCTTGGGGAAAGCGGATTCGGCGATATACCCAGAGGTCCACACGGTTCAACCAGAATCGTCTCTTCCAGAGTGATCAGAAGAGGCTCTATAAATCATTGGAGCGCCCAATGGTAAGTGGAACGGGCCCAGTACCGAATGAGGCCGACACAGTCGCATTCTGGCGCAGCCTGTGGTCAGAGCCCGTAAACCACAACGACGGTCCTTGGACGGAAGTTGTGGCAAGTCAGTGGGCGGGTATTACGCCCATAGAACCCGTCATCATAACGCCGGATGACGTAGCTGAGGCGGTCCGTAGGACCCCGAACTGGAAAAGTCCGGGGCTTGACTGGCTTCATTACTACTGGCTGAAAGGGTTCATGGTGTGTCATGCTGTGCTCGCCCGACAGTTTCAAGAGGCTATCAACCAGAAGTCGCTCCCGAGCCACTTCACTACTGGGATCACTCATTTGGTTCCTAAAGTTCAGGGTACCACAGACCCGAGCAAATACCGCCCCATCACTTGTCTACCGACCTAATACAAGACACTAACATCTATTTTGAGCGCGAGAATCACTCGTCACCTGGACTCAATAAATAAGACACACAAGAATAAGACACACGCATATAACGGCTGAGTCATACCTGTCCTCACGTATACCTTTGGCATACTCAGGTGGACTCAGACTGAACTTAATGCCCTGGATAGAAAAGTCCGCACTACAATGACGTCCCATAGGATGCATCATCCGATATCGTCGGTAATGAGGCTGTGCTTGCCGCGAAAGAATGGTGGTCATAGTTTTGTGAACGCGCTCACCATGCATAATGCGAAGTGTGCAGCCTCCGTCAATACTTTCTTGGCGATCCATTCTATAATGACATCATTTCTAGTGATAAAGGGCTTACCCCTCTATCCTTAGCCAACGAGCAACGGCAGGACCCAGCAGTGCTTAGCATTTCCGACCGGGAGACCGTATGGAAGGAGATGGATCTCCACGGGAGGTAACTACAGGGCTCTACATGAGCCCTTCGTAGATAAAATCGCCTCCCTTAACTGGCTACGTTTCGGTGACCTATTCGGGGAAACCGAGGGATTTGTTTGTGCAATACAGGAATTTCAATAGAGAAGATGGCTGGGTGCTACCATCTGCTTGGGATCCTATAATAAATAAAATTAAATCCCAACCCAAGCATACAACTGCAAGACTCCAAGATACCATAAGTTCATACTGTGTAGATCGGAACAAAAGTTAAATTTTAATCTATGGTAACCGCGGTTAACTATGACAGCTGGACGTTGAACATCTCAGTCCTTCCCGTGACCATGGGTGCTGTAAAGCTCTCGAAACGTCGGGTAAAAAAGTTAAATATACGCGATAAATTCCGTAAAAATTAAGTATTATTTCAAGGTGATGAAATTTTCTACTCTTTTAGGAGTGCAATTTTTTCTCCAAATGAGACTATCGTGAATTACAACTTGTTTAATGAAAAGGATTCATCAAAATCAGTTTGTGCTATTGACTAGGGTAGCACCTAATATACACACAAAACTCATACAGTAGAATTGTGAACCTCCTCTTTTATTTAAAGCAAAATGGTTCTCCCAGTAATTTGTTATCAGTAAAAATTGTCCACGATTCTAATCTAATAGGCAACAGCATTATGCTGTTATTTTTAATTGGTGTTGGGTGCAAGCGCGGTCCTTAACCAACCGAGTCGACACATTCTAATTTATGTAAATGGAAGCGCAGCCAAACAATGTTCCAAATGCAAATAAAGTTGAAAAAGTTGTTTGTGACTGTATAGTGGAACTGTGTAATCTTTTACCATAGTGTGATTTAATTTTATTTTAATGCTACCACCCATACTAGTATTTTTTAATGTATCGCGGAGACGTTGTTTATATATAATCTGCACATGGACAAGCATCAAGAGCCGTAAAAATTATTTATAGGCTATACTTGTTCTATGTTGGATTCAACCAGCAGCCTTGCAGCGTCGCCATCGAATTCCTAAGGCTAAGGTTTTTATGACACTAATGTTATGGTATATTTATATATGGTGGCAATATATGTGATGTATTGATTAGAGACTGTAAGCTAGACTGTAATTAACAATATTAATTGATGCGGTCTTAAGTCTGAGCTAAGTAATTGCCGGTTGAAACTATTGCTTAACTACTCGCCACTGTGGATGCGGCAACAAAGTCGTGGGTTTTAGTTAATAGCTTGTGTTTCAAAACAAAATAATTTTTTGAATAAGGGTGACAAGCGAGCACATAGTCCACCTAACTGCTACTCTGGCCCTTAGATATTTACATCTATCCTAGATCAAGAATGTTGAATGGCTAAGATGGAATGCCTAGTTACCAGTTAAAACGTGTCTCCGGTTCTCTACACTCACCATAGTGAACATAGCTTAACGCTGCTGATTCATGCTGTTATTCTGTGAGAGCGTAGTCCTTCTCTGGTCGAGCCGACCTATTCATGCCATAGCCATAATAAAGCTGCAGCGTGGGCCAAATGAAGGTGATTAATGTTATTTTTAGAATAGAATGACCAGCACACGGTTCACCTGATGGTAAGTGGATTATGTGGCCCAAAGATATCTACATTTATCCTCGATTAAGAACCAATACGCAAATTGGTCGTTATTCGTGAGGACTAAGATGAAATGCCTCGTTTCCAATAAAAAGTATCTCCGGTTCTCTACACTTACCATACGAAACACAGGCTGCTGTGTTTCGTATGGTAAGTGTAGAGAAGAAAGAGGTAAGCTTCATGCTGATGAAGCTGCTATTTTACGTTGGTATTCTGTGAGAGCGTGGTCCTACCCCGGCCGAGACAACCCATTCGTGCTACAACTATAATATAGTTGTAGCATAGCTCTACCACGTAAAGGCATTATAACATTTCGCAGATGGATATAGCCGTCTTTCTTATTAAGTAGTGACTCAGAACATTTGAATATTTGCAATAAATCCAGATAATTACTAAAATAAACACCTAGAGAAAAGTCTAGATTTGGGCTGTACTTTGCTATATTCATAAATATATGAAGACCACGGACTTCTAAATGCAGACTTAAAACGCTAGTAGATATCGTGGTAACAAATAGGTCTGGGTGAAAAAATATGATGAAAGTGGATGAGCCGCCCTTTCCAGTCGATTTTTTTATTGAGATTTTGGTTGGTGTGTGATTTAAATTTTTATTGATCGAATACTTTACATACATACATTTTTAACCACTACACAAATAGCTGACGCTTATATTAGCGACTGCAATCTCCTTTAATTCGAATTGTTAAATAACCAATGATTGCCGATTGACACAGCAACTTACACCTAAGATATCATTTATATGGGTTATTAACATGATTGTTACAATCATAAAGTACAATAATTAAAATGTCCCATTACATTTAATGCAGTCTCATTCCGATCGCATTTGCTAAATGAAATGGACGTACATTCATTGTTCATTTCTTAATAGATTTACCTCAATTGATTGGTTTGCAAAATTATTAAATAATTGTACATGTACGAATTACATATTAATAATTGAATATGTAATTCGTACATGACGAGCACACAGTTCACCTGCTGGTACGTGGATTCTGTGGCCCATAGATATCTACATTTATCCTCGATTAAGAACCAATACGCAAATTGGTCGTCATACGTGAGGACTAAGGTGAAATGCCTCGTTTCCAATAAAAAGGGTCTCCAGTTTTCTACACTTCCATACGAAACACAGCAACATGAAACTGCTATTTTACGTTGGTATTCTGTGAGAGCAGCATGATTTTGGACTCCACGGACCTTCATGCAAGATAAGTGCAAGTAGGTTTTCCCGTCACGGTTATTTGATCGAAGTCATCTGAAGGGCTCTTGTCTCCATAAGTATTCCCTCGGTTTTAGAGCCTTGCGGGATATTTGACGAGAGAGACGATGGCAAGAGACCCGATGGTATAACTTTGGTCCCCTGGGAGAGATGTAAATCCCTAGTGTGGGATGCTACTTACGTTGACACTTTGGGAGCCTCTGATCTCAAGGGCCTCTAACTCTTTTAGAGCCGGGGTGGCATCAGAGGCAGCCGAATTTAGTAAATGGCGCAAATATGAGTCTTTGAAAAATGACTACATATTTGTGCCATTTGTTGTAGAAACTATCGGTCCGTGGGGTCCAAGTGCAGTGAAGTTCCTAAAGGAACTGTATACACGGCTGGTCGTCGCTGCTGGTGATAAGAGGGCTGGTTCTTTCCTCACTCAAAGGCTAAGTATAGCTATCCAGCGAGGCCATGCAGCCAGCGTTCTTGGCACTATACCACGGGGAGAAGGACTTTTCGACTATTTAAATTTTTAGTTTTAGTTTTTCTATATTATGGTTTCTTTTTTATATTGTATATAATTAGTATTAATTCTAAATATTATAATTTTAATTATTATTTTAGTTAAGTCTCTTTATTGTCTAAAATCTACAAAGAAAGTCATTTTCAACAGTTGATCACAACTAGAATAAGAAAATGTAAAATCAAATTCAAATCTATTGCTTTTGTTTCGATAATTGGTAAAATTAAAATGTGGGAATTACGTTGCACATATATAGGGGAGACCGGGTACAAAAGTATTTTTTTTTACTTTTATCTATGTTTCTGGTTAGGTGTAATTATTTTAATAAAATTAATGTATCCATATATAATATGACGTTCATGTTCTTTACATTAGTGTTTTGATTTTCCTTATTATTGTGTATTTTATATGAATTACAGGGACTTTAAAAAAAATCGTCCGATGTTACTTTTGACCACGTACGCGGGCCGGGTTTTGGTACAGGTAATGCCCTCTAGCGGTGTATCCATGTATTACGAGTAGTTAGCCCTTTGATGCGGATTACTATGGATCGCCTCTAGATATCGATGCTTGTGTCACAATGAGCGTGACGTGGTAGTGTGCCCCTGTTCCAATAGATGGCGTCTTGCATGCGATGGTGCGCTGCTTGGAAGATGATTCGCAAATCAACAAACAACAATTATTTAGGTTATGATAATTTGCACTTTTTATTTTACACTTGATCCGTTATACACACGAAAGTTATTTTGGCTTGAGATGTTGGGTCCTAAAAAAGACGCAAAGTGCTCCCAAAAGACCTTGAAATTCAAAATTTAGTAGTTGTTTTGTAGTGCAAAACGTTTGTTTCAAGTTTTTACGAGTTTAATACTACTTTTTTCACTGTACTTTATATTTTTTAGCCAGTTTACTAAGCACATTTATATAGTATTGGTCAAAAGTCGCTTTTTATATTATATTTTGTTATTTTTAACGGAGTCGATGTTTGTCGTGTCACGGTGGCGCCCTCTTCTCCTGACTATACAAAGATAAGAAATAAATCTTAAAATTCAGCTAATTGAATATTGAACTAATTACGCTTATTACAATGTTGAAAATAACGCAAGAAAATATATTTTTTAATATTTTTTTAAGCTTATTCTACGTCAAAGGTCTCAAATTAGGACGTTCCATTTTACACACTGCTAC